AAGACGTGTTAAGCAGGTAACACCAGATACAATGGCAGCTAGCTGACACCGCCCTTGTCCCACGGTTTACGGAAACTAGTACCTCGGAGGTACTAGTTTTTTACCCCGCATCTTCGGCAGGAAGCCTCGGGTTCGGCACGGGAGCTCTACGCTTCCCAGATGGGGTGGTGTGATCGTGCCCGGAAAATCCACCTATCTTCCGTCTCTGTAGCGTGGCTAATGTTCCGTGTGACCGCAGCCTGTGTTATGTTAATTTGCTGTTCAATCCCTGTGTATAAGCTTGAAAGTTACCTACCATTCCAATTTATTTGAAAAAGTGTGCCTTGCACACGAAAGCTCATACCTTGAATAAACCTTTGTTGGTCTTAAAGGTTCCACTGGACTCTAAATTTGTTCTACTGCTTCAGACCAACACGGCTGACCACCTGGATCTACCTTGGGAAGCAGTATGTAAGGGTGAAGGCAGGAGGATGGGAAAGTGAGGGAAAGGAACTTCTTTGGTGGCTGATGATGGGATGAATGAGAGCCTATCCTAAGTGAAAAACCAACTGTAAGTGAAGTCATAGGTGCTATATATCTGAGAATCATATATGACTTAACATCATATAAGGCTCCAAATATTTCTCAAATATACATCAATCTTCAATATGTGAAATGCATGAGCTGCAATGAATAGGCTGGAGATTTAAAGCAATATCTAACATTTACTATTTGACACTCCCAACCCAAAAGAAAGACTTCACAGATTCTCAATTCACAATTTCAATGGACTATAAAACATAATCTTCAGATGTCCATCAAGCAAGTACATGTACTTCTTAAGACTTAAGATAATATTAAACAACTAGGGAAAAGGACTGTTATGGAAATAAATACAACCGTCTCTAGAAAGAGGCTCTGGGCAGGTGCCCCGGCCTTGAACCCTCAGTGTCAATTTGCTGTGGCGACCTCACCAGGGTATAATGACACTGAGTCCACCATTTTCTCCAGAGGAACTGATCTCTGCTACCTAAAGAACAGTTGTAATTTTGAGTGATCTCCAGCCCTCACCTGGAGATTGGCAATGATGGTTCCCCAGAAGGGAATGGTTGGTCTGGAGGGTGGAGTCTATGGCTTTGTACCTGTCCGCTCTGAAGCCCTGACTGCTACATCATATTGGCTGTCATACGGTCGCCCCCTCAGCAGCATATAAGGATATAGATCCCACCATTTTCTCCAGGGGAACTGATCTCTGCCATCTGGAAAGCAGTTGTAATTCTGAGTGATCTCCAGCCCTCACCTGGAGATTGGACACATTTTACCTCAGAACAGCAAACTGTTTAGAATGTTAGAGGCAAAAGCCAATCAAGTCGCATATGCAAACGACCTCTGTGTTCTGAGGCAAAGGCCAATGAGGCTGCATATGCAAATAACCTCTGTGTTCTGACTGGCTATGGGGGGTGGGGACAGCAAACTGTTTAGAATGTTGGAGGCAAGACTCAAGCAATGCAGCCAGTGGCTAGGGACAGATTCTGAGTGACACACCAGGGCACCAACCAATTCCGGAGCATGTGGAATGTTCTAGAGAAGTGCCACCACCATTTGGCTTTTATATATAAGGGAGATAAACAGCATGTTATAAACAGCAAGTAGATCCAGTCCTTAAAACTTGAGACAAAGAGTAAGAAATAGGCTGCAGTCAACTTATCCTCCAGATAATTCAATGAGTTTTCGATGCCTTCATCAGGACTGCAAACGGGGACTCCCAGAGAGGCACAGCCGCAGAAACTTCTCAGCCAATGCTGCCTCCCTTGTTTTTTTCAGAAATGCATCAAAGCTATAAACCAATGCATACTTATTTGAAATCTGGCTGTATTGAATTCAGCAGGATTCACTTCCAAATACACATGCATAGGATCAAGTTGCAGGGGAGCCAAACGTGTATGTGTGTGTGTGTATTAATATCATCATCATCATCATCATCATCATCATTATTAAATAACAATAAGAAATAAAAGTATTTTTGCACTTTCTAGGCTAAAATTATGTGTTCATCTATCTGCAAATGTGTTGGCTGTAAAAATTATGAAGAAAGCCCAGATCGAAAAACACTAATGAATATGCCAAATTATATGGAGATTAGAAATAATGAAGGAAATGACTCTGTATCATTTTCTACCTCTGAAATATTATCAAAACCCAGAAAAGACAGGTGAATATCAAGAATTAACAAAATAATTTCAATTTTTTTCTAAGACATGTATCTTGAAATAACAGATTATTTTTAGTTATTAGTATTGGTTTTTAACTACAAATGTATCTATAATTTACACGAAGCCTTGAATTTAGCTGTCTGCTCCTTTTGACCACTTCTTGCTTCTTTTAATATGCTTTATCCTACCTACAGACAGTTATTCGGTCAGAGCTAGATAACTTATTCCAGCTACACACTGTCGCAGTGGTGAGGGATGCAATACTGCCGCTCTTTTGTACTAACATATACTTTATATATACGCTTTTGAGGCAGCTATGCTACATATGCTATTAAAACTCACCATAAATGGTTGTCAGGTTTCCTTGAATACTAGGTTGGAATATGGCCCTATTAAATGTAAAAAAAAACCCTTTATGTATCATATTTCAGGATGTCTCTGGATTTGTCCATACAGGCTCTCAAATGTATGTAGTTGGTAAGGTGACAGTTCTGTTAAAACTGTAGTAAAAGGCTTATATACAAGCCTTCGAAAACTGTTGTACAGAAGAACTGAATAACAAATTCTGATCTGTCAATTCCAGCAGGTATTCAAATGACTCCATTTCTCTTGAAATAGGGAATGTGAATGATTGAAATACAAGAGAGACAGCTGAGAAAGCACAACTAATTTCTGTGTGGGGCAAAGGTGTAGCATCCTTTTCTCCATTTCAGATCATATCTGCCTACTTGCATCTGTTCAGTGGTGGACCAGATTTTCAGACCCCCAAGTGTGTTTAAATAGAATGAGCGTTTTTAATCTTTTTAAAATTAATTTACATATTCAGATGTTAAATATATTCATTCTGATTTTTCCAATAGGCAGTCTAATACATGTATATCATGGGAAGTGGTTGAGGCAACATGTGCCTGTCTCCTGGCTCAAGCAGAAGAGGCAGAAAAAGAATCTTACACTGTCTGCCTAGCTGAACAAATGATTTTGGAAGAATTTGGGAGATGCTTATCACAGATTCTACACTCTGAATTTAAATCCAAAGGGCTAAAAGTTGAATAATGTGCCTTAGCGACAAAAAATTGAGCCTGTGACAATATTTATAAAAATCATCCTCATTGTTGGTATATCATACTTCCTATTCATTATTTCAGTCTCTACTGGTTTGCGTTGTTATAGCTAGTAATTTGTTTCAAATATTGTTTCAAATTAACAGTACAATAAAAAAACCACTTAAACTAGATTCTTTGTTGATTTTCTGTTTCTACTGGCTCATAGGAGAGAACAATTTAGAACAGAATTTTATTACTTAAATGAAAATATTCTAGGTAACTAGTTTGGGGATCAACCATAAAATTGCTTACAAATTACTTGGATTTGTGAGATCACACGCAAGCCCATTTCTTGAAAAAAATAAGTAACATGGTTGAAGTTAAAGGTTTTTTGTTTGGACCTGATAGGGCCCATTCAAAGCTCCCTTTTAAATTTAATTATATTGCATATACCATTAGGAATTCTCCCAGCTAAAGATGCAAAAATGAAGTGCCTCAAATATATTTTGGCCTCACTATTTATTTATAATGCTGAATTGTTGGAATTGCTTCAACAAGAAAAACTGTTTTCTATTTACTCGACTAGATTTGTAATGATGAAAACTGTGATATGTATTTTTAGCTAATATCTTTAATAAAGTTTTTTCCCCCTTGTGCTCAAAAAGAGAAACATGACCAAATGTGAAAATTGAAGTCATGGCACTTGAGTCATAATGTGAATGAATTCTGCTTTTCAATTTGAAATAAATATGTTGTTAGTTGACATATACTTACAGGTTTTCATGATTTTCATTTTTAAGCAACAGTTCAGTAGCGACTTATGCTGGTACAACACCATCAAATCAATCCCACTTGAGTAAACACCATGCATGGTATTCCTACCCACTTAATGAATTTGTAAGCTGTTATTATACCATAACGTTAAATTTCATACAGGCATGCTTCAAAGATAACAGCAAGCAATTGTTTGCTCCTATATAAAACAAGGGATCATGCATTTGCACTAATGTGCTCTCCCACCCTCATACGTCTAGCTATTTTTCTCCACTTTTACAGCAAACTGTAATATCTTCTTTGTGGTCTCTGTGCAGGCCCACACATGGGTTGGGCGCCTGTGCACAACCTCACTGTAGAAACTTCCAGAGATTGCCTCAGAATCTTTTTGGCAGGCTCTCTTCCCACTTTGGGTAGCAGGCACACACTGCATATGCCTGGAGCGGGGGAGAGAGCCACCTCCCACTCAGTTCTTCGACTGCCCTTGTGTTCACACCTCTCTTCATTGTCTCTTCGCTTCGCCTCAGCTAAGTCCCTTACTTCATCCTAACTTTTCTCTACCATTTTCTTCTTTGGACTTTTCCTTCGTCTTTACTAAAAAAATAAATAAATTACTTTTCTTATTTTCTCTCTTTTCCCCACCCCTTACCCTCCCCCCTCCTTGATTGGGAAGGTGTGCATATGGGCCCTACTCTCTTTTTAAGGAGTGTTGCCGCTGTCCTGCAAACGGGCACAATCTGTGTCTTATTTGTCTTGGGGAACAGCACCAGGTTGAGACCTGCCCTCACTGTGCCAAGTTCACTAAGCAGGTCCGACACAATTGAGCGGCATGCCTCAAAGCTTTTAGAAGCAGTGGTTCACCCAGGAATGTCTTCGGTGGCATCTCATTCCTCTTCAGTTCCTACTCAGAAGCCCTCTGACCCAGCGGTTCCACCTAAGCCACAAAAAAGGCCGCATAAATCGAAGAAAATGGAGATGGTTGAAGCTTTGACCTTTAAGTCAAAAAAGTCGAGCTTGGCTCGGCTCCTGCACTCAAACCCGTCATCATTTCGGGTATCTCGACCCCAGTCACTCGCCCAGCATCTACTGTGCTTCCAAAGACTGATGATAACTCACCTGTGTTGACCCTGGCTCTCTCTTCTCAGACTGACCGTGTCACACCAGGCCAACAACCTCAGCCCCGGCTCTCTAAATCTCTGCCTTCCCACTATTCTTCGACCTTGGTCCAGAAGCACTGGTCTGTCTCCAGAGACTCCCGTCCTCCTCTCCACTTGTTGGATGACAGGGAACATTTCTTGTAAAACCGGTCACACACTCCTCGCTCACACTATGACCGCAGGGAGCATAGGCACTATCATTCTTCGTCAAGGTCCTGGTCCCGATCTCGGGGATCCTGGTCTTTTGCTTGGAGGGCTCACCACTCTACTCGTTGCCCCTCATACTCAGATAACGGACTCCATGCTACTATCGCCACTCCGATCGAAGTGGGAGCACGCCTCCTCGTCATGCTACCCCTTGATCTCGTAGTGGCCGCTCGCCATCTTATGCATCTGTACATTCTTTAAATTTGCATGCTGTAATTTCAGATACCTCAACTACTCAGGATCCAGCCTCTAGGGCTCCTTCTGGTCTTCTGGATCAGTCTACTTCTACTAACCATGATCCATCTAAGACTTTAGCTCAGCTCACTCCACCGTCCTTGTCAATCTCCTCAGATTCCGATTCTGTTCACTCTGACTCTGGTGGCATTGATGCCGAGGTGACTCCTCAAGATGACGATCTCATGTGTACAGTGTTCCCTTTAAGCTGAGTTAGGGTGAGCTAGCACACAGTTTTTTAGCTTCCGGCTCACACATTTTTGTTTTAGCTCAGGAAGGATGGCTCCACAGCAGACTAGTTTATGCAGTGTAGCCAAATTGCTCGCTCACAGCTTTTATGCCAGTAGCTCACAAAGTAGAATTTTTGCTCACAAGACTCCACAGCTTAGAGGGAGAATTGTACAGGGTCCCTTTCTCCTACTGAGGGTCTCAAGGCTTACCTAGAACTCATCACCAGGTTGGCTATGGCTCTTGAGGTGCAGGGTGCTACAGATACACTCATGGTTACGGACGTGGTCCATAAATTGGTGCAAGCTGAGCTACCATCCTCCTACTTCTTCTCAGACATTTGTCAGTGTTGAAAGATTCCTGGGATCACCCTGCCTGTGTTCCTCCTGTCTCCAAATGCTACAATGTCCTATACAAGGTTCAGGAATCCTCGAGTAAATTCTTATTCAACCATCCCCCACCGAATTCTATGATTGTCCACTCTTCTTCTAAATCGAAACAACCGCATCAGTTGGTTCCCCCAGATCAGGAAGGCTGCAAGGTTGACTTCCTTGCTAAGAAGATCTATGCTCTCTCTTCTATGAATGCACGCATTGATACTTACCTCTCCTACCTGGCTGCCTGTGCTTTCAATGTCGCCTTAGTTGTCAGACCTGTCTTGGATGCAGTGCCGTGCTTTCTGAGATCTTTCTGCCATACTTTCTGAGATCTGTGTGATTTCCAAACAGCAAATTAATTCGATATGCCATGCTGTGACATGCTTCTACAAGAATTTGGCTTCTTCCATTGCTCTTTGTCACCATGCTTGGCTGCAGTCAACTTCCCTGCAGCCTGATGCCAAGTCTAAAATTGAAGACTTGCCCTTTGATGGAGAGGGCCTCTTCCATGCTTCCACTGATGACACCTTAAAGGTGGTTGATGATAGCCACAAGAAAGCAAGGAATCTGGGAGTCTCTTACTCGACACCGCAGCATCCTCAGCCCCGTCAATGGAAGCTGTACTACTCCAAATGTCAACCTTCTCCTGCAACACCTGCAATGTGGAAGTGCAAATCCTTTGATTCTTGCCAGTCATTTTCTTTGAAATCAAAGACTCAGGCACCTACACAGTCTTATGTCTGACTATCTCGCTTGCAGGACACCTCCTTCACCTCTTCCCTTCACTCCACCCATCGGCACCCGTCTTCTTCCCCATCTCCTTGCTTGGGAAGATATTATCACCGATCATTGGGTCCTGACCATCATCTGCACCATAGAGTTCATTTCACTTCCAACCTCCCATCATTTTGTTGCCACTCCGCCTTCACCGCTAGCAGACGTCGACACTCTTCTTTTCAAGGGAGCTATTGAGATTGTTCCAGAAGCAGAACAGACTCTTCAGTTCTACTCCCAGTACTTCACCATCCCCAAAAGGGCGTTCAAACGATCATGGATTTGTGAGACTTGAGCCTCTTCGTCTAATACAAGAAATTCCGCATGATCACCCTGCAGTCTATTCTTCCTCTCCTACCAAAGGATGGATGGCTAGCATCCATCAATCTTCATGACATCTATTTCGACATTACCATCCAGCCTCAACACAGAAGAGAAGAAGAGAAGAGATTGGATTTATACCCCGCCCTTCACTACCCGAAGGAGTCTCAGAGCAGCTTACAAACTCCTTTCCCTCCCCACAACAGACATCCTGTGAGGTAGGTGGGGCTGAGAGAGCTCTGACAGAAACTGCTCTTTTTCGAGGACAGCTTTTATCAGAACTTCAGCTTGCCCAAGGTCATCCAGCAGCTGCAAGTGGAGGAGTGGGAAATCAAACCCGGTTCTCCCAGATTAGGAGTCCGTGTACTTAACTACTGCGCCATACTGGCTCTCTTCAGTTTGTGATCAGGACACAAATTCCTTCGGTTTGCGATCAGCACACATCATTACCAGTATCAGGTTCTCCCATTCAGCCTTTCCACGGCTCCTTGAGTTTTTACCAAAATGATAGCTGTTGTGGCGGGGGAACTACACCGATGGGGAAATCACTCTTTATCCATATACAGATGACACATCTCCACAAAGCCCTTGCCCTTGTTCACCATCTAGGTCTCTGTGTCAATCTCCCGAAGTCTTTACTGGAACCAATGCAGATCCTGCAATTCCTCGGGCCTCTTCTCGATACCAGACAGGAGATGGCATTCCTCCCACGGATTCATGCACGTTCCATTGTTGCCCTGGCTTTGGATTTCATCCGTCATCCTCATCAGTTGGCTTGGTTGATAATAAAGCTTTTGGGCTTCTTTACCTCAACAGGTTTTTTTGTCTCGAATGCTTGCCTTTGGATGAGACAGTTATGGTTTCTCCGCTCCTTCTATCTACAGCACCCTTCATTGAAGAGGATTCTTCTCATCCCCCCGGATGTTCTCCTTTCCCTT